AATTATGTGAGGGATGAGCTATTCTGTGTGCAGAATGTGTAAAAAAGGAGGGACTTCGAATAATAATCTAAATGCATATATAGAGGTACCAGACGTGGTTTGCACTGCAGTGTCCTCTGTGAACAATTATAGGAAAACAGATTGTGCCTAGTTTCCGATAGATGTCACCGCAAACAACAGCTGTGACATCTGATGGAACATGAATGCAGAAGCTTGACAAAATAATTAATTGTTTAGATCTATTTTATGCAGGGTAAGTGTACCAGTTTTGCCACTAATGGTACAGTTTTTGACCCCAGGGCTGAAATCAAATTTGAAATAAAATTTCATGGTTTTATTTGCGTAGATTTATGGCAAAAGATATGTTCGAACATTGTACCGAAACAAATTGAAAATAATGTCAAAAGGGGCAATTTAAGATAGCGCCCATTCGAGGACCAATGGGGCCTAAAACTGGCATACTTACCCTAGTTTTATTCCAGCTTTTTAGAAATGAAAATCAAGTTTTTATTAAAGGTACACGTTAATATCCATCAACAGAATAATTCGTGCTGAAATCATAACATTCATAAGTAGACTTACTAAAAGCACAGTGAACAAAATTATGCTCTTGATTGGCTTCTGACAGATTTGAAAATACTAGTTAAAAATCCTTTGATAAGCCCCCTGTAGAGCTAGTCGAAAACAGAATAGCCGCATTACCTTGAAACTTGCAAATGGCATTATCGGCCACTCTGTAACTCTTCACTCCTATAGTAAATCCCCCTCAGCAAACGTCTGTCTGTGCATGAAACATGGTGGAAATTTCCTTACCCTTTCACTCCTATGAAAATTTCATAAGATCCTGTCAAGCTTTGCGTGAAGAGACGGTGGCTCACTGATATCATGGTGGAGTGAAGACACAAGACAAAGTTCGCTAGATATCATGCATGGATTTTACAATAGGAGTAAAGAGTTGCAGAGTCGTCGTCAAAGTCAATGCTTACTGAGTATGCAACCATAGCATTTCATAAGAGTCAATGTTGCAAACGTAAACAATGACTTTTTCCGCGAATTCCTCGAGAATGGAATACCACTCAAGTAAACCACCACGATGATTATGGGGGAGAGTCCTCATATCCGATAGAACTGGTGGCTTACATGGATTGACTTTGAGCGACGAGAAATTTACGGAAGAAGCCAGTGTTTGTTTTCGACATTGGTCTTTGTGAACGCTCAGTGTCGATATCATGGAAATTTTGTTTTGACAGATCGATGGCCAACTATACCAGTTATACCACTGAGGCAACACAAAAAAGGGGTCAACTTTTAGTCAGTTATTTTGCATGAAGTTCCACATATGTTATGTGGCCTGCGTTAATCGTTTGCTTGGGACCAATAGGCTACTAAAGTGGTGAGCCAATTTAAAATCGTTAGTTTCGTATTGATTGTTGCTAGTAGCATATGTAGAGGTAATTCTAAGATTATTAGGTCCCGAAGAATCGTGTTCAACTTTTTGGCTCAGCTCTGGTACTATCTTCGGTCCCAAACTAATCGATGCTCCCCTCAAAACATAGGAAAATCCACGAACCCCTCATTCTATCTGTCAAACTTTCATAGCGAATCAAAACAAATATTGTGTAGTACTAGAATTTTGACTAGAATAGGGTACGTTAATCGATTTGCTTGGGACCAATAGGCTAGTCAAGTAGTGAGCCTAATTAAAATCGTTATTTTCGTATTAATTGTTGCTAGTAGGTCCCGAAGAAACGTGCTCAACTTTTTGGCGCAGCTCTGGTACTATCTTCGGTCCCAAGCTAATCGATTTACCCCTCGAAACATAGGAAAATCCACTAACCCCTCATTTTGTCAGTCAAACTTTCATAGCGAATCAAAACAAACATTGTGTAGTACTAGAATTTTGACTAGAATGGGGTACCTTAATCGATTTGCTTGGGACCAATAGGCTAGTCAAGTAGTGAGAAAAAATTAAATCGTTAATTTCCACCGGTTGGTAATTCGTAGATTGCATACTAGCAACTGTCATGTATCTACTTGCGTTTGGGCCTGAACGCTCTTATTCTGATTGTTTAAAGAAAATTATTTGGGAGTGAATAGCTCTCCAATCAGAGTTCAGACCAGGCAAAGCATGACAACTACCATTGCCGGTCACGTTCGTCTTCTCTATTGAATCACCATCTCCTTGTTCTGGTTGGCAGTGAAATAGGTAGCAATCGCTTTGTTTTCCAACCAAACAGCATTTCTGTTGATATTACCATATGGTAAATTTTAAGTATTTTTTAACCATGGATGTTATTAGCAATACTACATGAAATTCTAAGAGGAGCATAGTGTTTTGGTAGAAAACACAATAGAATTGAAAGAAATATCGGTTGATTTTACTATGAGCTGTCATAGTGTAAATAAACACATTTCAATGGTACGTGCTGATAGGCACGATACGATTGATATGTTTGATGATCGTTTTCATTATTCAAATTACTGTTGTGGCCTAGGTTGTGGCTCTTATTAACATATTCTGATACTGATATGATAGTTTAATAACCGCCAATTCAAATGCAGAATGTTAGTTGCACACAATTTATAGAGTCGGTGTATAATGAGTCACGCCAAGAGTGAAGCCAAGTCTACCTATTGAACTGTCAAATCGGCTACCTATCGCTGGGACGGGACTTGACAATCGGGTAGCGATTTTGAGCCAATTTGCTGTCAAATCCGAGCCAGTTGCTGATTGGTCGATTTGACAGAAGCAATCGTCTGATAATAAGAACATAGGGATCATATCAATCTGCCTGGCAGTAATGCCGGAATCATTGTTGACGTCAATGGCGTTGTTAATTGTTTATATTTGCGAAAGGAAAGTTGGAAAATAGGGTCCAGGGCGTGCTTTAAGAGATGGATATTCTTGTTTGTTTATGGTTGTTTTTATTGTGTTAAACAAAAATGATGTACAAGGTGTTAAGCTGCGGTAGAAAGTCCGAATCAAATTAAAATTAAAATAGAAAAATCATTTTTCAATCCTGGCATCATTGGTCAACTCCGTCAAACACCATGCACTAATTTTCGACGGGCATTCATCAAAAACATTAAGAAGAGTGAGAAGCTGGATTGTCAAGTCCCGTCCCGGACCTATCGTGCAAAGTAAATAAACATTACGATGCTATGAAAGGTCCACGAAAGGTATTGCAATGAAATATAAAATAAAATTGAAGAACTCATCATAAACACGCAGCGAGCATTAAATGGTCATGGGATACGTTTGGTTTTGATCAGTAATGAGAATTTCTTCTATTTTTTGATAAGATAATTTGACAAAATCACTGATATTATGATTCACTACAGCCGTTATTTTTGGTTCTCGCTAGAAGTCATTTAAAGTTGATGTAGAAGTCCTCTGTTGCCAAGTGAAAAGAAAGGGAATCCTTCGGAAACCGTGATGCGAGTTCAACTGTTTTTCTCTTGGCGGGACTCCCCGCATAAACGCGAACCATCACATGACCTTACCGATAATGGTTATAAATTGTTTATAATCCCTGCTAAACTTCAACTGAAATGGTTATGGAACCTTACATGAACGTTTGTGTGATAAAGTTTTAACCTTATGTGTTATGGTTTTTTGGAAGCGGACCTTACAAATAATGGGTTGTTAAGAACCATTACCATTCCAAATTCTTGTTTTCTCCATACATTTTCGGAAAGAGAACTATATTAGAACGTTTTTACTTATGGTTTGAGAACATTAATGGTTATGGTTATGGTAGTCAGTAAGGTCCATTAATGGTTTTGTATTATCGCTCAACTTTACGTGAAATATATCGTGAATTGGTAATCAGTAATTTACAGGCAACCAATTCGCGATATATTCCACATAAAGTTGATCGATGTTACAAAACCATTCATGGACCTTACTGGTTACCATAACCATTACCATTAATGTTCTTAAACCATAAGTTAAAAGGTTTTAGTAAAGTTTTCTTTCCGAAAATGTATGGAGAAAACAAGAATTTGGAATGGTAATGGTTCTTAACAACCCATTATTTGTAAGGTCCACTTCCAAAAAACTATAATACTTAAGGTTAAAACTTTATCATTAAACGTTCATGTAAAGTTCCATAACCATTTCAGTTGAAGTTTAGCAGGGATTATAAACAATTTATAACCATTATCGGTAAGGTCAATTTATGGTTCGCGCTTATGCGGGTCATTATACACCGACTCTAACAATTTACATCACGCACTTTGATGCAATAAAGCACGGTTTAGGCGATTCAAGTCGGCGTTCAGCTCAATAATTCAGTGTCATCATTTCAAAGGGGCGTAATTGCTTTTGTAAACATTGGCTTTAACCGTCGATTTCTCGCGAATTCAAGCTCACCCCTCCAAATTAACAATGCTAGCTGGTAGAGCAAACATTCCTCTACTTGTTGGTTTCATTAATTTTCATGTGTGAGCTTTTATTCTCGAGAAATCGACGGCTAAAGCCATTGTTTACAAAAGCAATTTACGCTAGGCAAGTCAAATGAAACTCAGTTTAATTCAATTGGCTTGAAAAGTTGAGCCTAAGATTAAAGAGTAAGAAGCCAGTTGTCTCCTCTTCCTCTTAGCTTAAAGCCATAAAAGAATGCTCGCGTTACTTTTCAAATATACCAATCTACATTGATCGATTCTCTTCATCGACTCTCGCTTCCGTTAATAACTTGGCTGCATTTATATTTAGGGCAAGCTTTTCTACATAGTTTGCTAAAATAAAGTATTTTTATTATTAGGCTTATTGGAACATAAAAACAGCTGAACATGTATTTGCCGAGTTATTAACGAAAGAGAGAGTCGATGAAGAGAATCGATCAATGCAGATTGGTCTATTTGAAAAATGACGCGAGCATTATTTCATTTTGGTAAATAGAACAAACACTAACATTAATAAGGCAGCTAGTCAGTTGAAGTAATACATAAACTATATAAAGCAATATCGGCTTAATGAGCGGCATAACAAAATAATATCTACAAATCTGACTACAGTGGTAAACAAATAAACAATTTCGGTGCTTCTCGGACGTGCTAGTGTCACGTCAAAATAAACGCGTATCCCGTGCATAAAGTTGAGTGCTATATTGTGGCTAAATATAGCACACATTTTGCATCATTTTCTGCTTCATAAAGGTGTAGATACCAAAAATGAACGACTCAGCTGTTTGAGAAAATTGCTACCAAAGACGTCGATTGGTACGTAAGTATGATACTTTACGTGTGATTTATCTATATTTAGGTGGATGATATGATAGAACGTCAGTTCAATGCTTAAGAAGACCACGTCAGTTTTGTGAAATTAACGATCTTTTTGGGACATTTTGTAGTTTTCGTTCCCGGTTCTGGTTCTGCTTGAAAGTTTTAATCCTATAAAAATGCAAATACCATACATGAAAGTGGCGATCTATTCGCTGACTTTTCTAACATACGCTTACACGGGCTATGGATCAAACATGTTAGCAAGTCTTCGGGATGCAATCATAGCTGCAGAAGCCGTGTTTGGAGACGTTCTGAAGAACGTGGTGCATGTGGCCAAGAAATTCAAAGTGGTTCATGAGGTATTTGACGCAGCTGTGGACGAGAATTGCATATACAAATGCCCAGGAGGTATGTTATTATCTACTTTTTTGCCTTCGATTTAGATTACATCTCTATTCATTTATTAGATGTAACACCGTCTAAAAACAAGCTATACATCCCACAATCGGATGGATGTGGCTCGCTGGGGCTTAAGATTGACTCGGAGTACCTGCCGGCTGCTGAGATGGAAACTTGCTGCAATGATCATGATATTTGCTACGATACATGCAACAGTGATAAAGAGCTGTGCGATTTGGATTTCAAACGATGTCTCTACAAGTATTGCGACGAATATGAAAAGAACGTAGTTGGCGATATAGTCGTCAAAGGTAACGTTATTATAGTTGGACACAAATTCCGCACGTTCAAATATCATCATTATTTTAGGATGTAAGGCGGCGGCGAAAATGCTATTTACTGGAACTCTCACACTAGGATGTAAATCGTATTTAGATTCACAGGCAAGGTCATGTTACTGCCTGCCAGGAAAGACGGACAAAGCGTATGAGAAGTCGAATAAAGGATACGAGAAGTCAGATAAGGCGTACGAAAAATCCGACAAGTACAATGACAAGGGTTACAAAGATAAGGGTAAGGACAAAAACAGTGGCAAATATGGTTGGAAACAGGATCTGTAAATACATATCCTGTATTTGTGGCATAAATGTGTACAATACAGTGGAATTAGTTGAAGCTTAATTGTAAATAGACAGCTCTGTAGCGGGTATACTGACACTACTGAAGTAAAGTGATGTTTTAGTTATTTTAGTCTGCTCTACTCGTGCCTACTCCGAAATTCTTAACGTTGCGTTGCGTTTGTAACGGAATAATACGTAGATTTCATACTGGATACTGTCATGTAAGTGTATTACTTTAACGCTCTTTCTGATTGCTAAAGGAAAACTATTTGGGAGTGAATAGCTTTCCAATCAGAGTTCAGAACAGAAAAACTATAAGGAGAAGGATATTGTTGACGTAAACTACTTAATGGAAGGCCACCAACTCGATTCTACGACATTACCCGAACAACCATTTATCGGAAATCAATTTCCCGGTAGACCATTACCCGGAAAGAACCGTTTTCCGGAAAACTTGTTCCCGGAAGCACTATTTTCCGTAATCAAATGATATAATATAGGTACTTCCTTGAGTTTATCTCCCTTTTTCTGTCTTTCTGGTTCGTTAACATGTCGCGGTTACCCATTTCGCGGTCTGTACTATTTCACGGTTTACCAGTTGGCGGTTGATATTACCTCAATTCAGAGGAAAATTAGCGTTTGGCGTCAGATGATCAGCTTTAATAACTTGCTGTGGCATTTCGCGACGAACGATTTTGCAATTAATATGATTTCACGGTTTTTCATTTGGGGTAAGGGGTAAAAAACACAATCAAAGATAACCATAATCATGCAAGAAAGTGATCCTTAGTAACCTGTTGATCATTCTCAAACAAACTCTTTCAAGTGCAGTCCTTTTTTCCGGAAGAAATCTTATCCTCAAGATGATGAACAGTTTTCCGTATTTGAGCTAGAAAATGCAATTGCAAAGGTATGAATAATCATTGACATGAACTGGGATAAACGATCATTCATAGCTACCGTGTGAATGAGAGCTAAAACAAAAATTGTGTCTGGGAGACACATGGACAAAAAATCTTGATATAGCTTACTTTTACTTTAAATTATTTTGATGTCTTTGATGAAGATATTCCTTGACACTAAGACGATATAATATTGAAATACATTTTTACTGGCATCATCGTCATTTTGAGGAGTAATAAGGATGAATGTATTTTTTTTTCTCCCTGATTTGTTTCCCGTCGATCTTTTTTTCCGTGCTGAGCACGAATGCTACCGATGCTAGGGAGGCAGCTCCCACACCTGGACCCTACATATCGACCCATCAACTCATGAACCGGGGACCAACGGCTTTATTTCCCTTCCGAGAGATATTATGCCTCAGAACATCCCGGCGGCGCCGACTGGGATTGAACCCAAGCCTGCTGGCTGAAGTGAGAGGTAATCACGCTTACCACTGCACCACCGGCGCCGCTGGGCTGAATGCCATTAGGATAAACCAACTATCCAGTTGAATCCAAGATTTTCCCTTCTTTAAAACATGAAACCTGCTCATTCTTCTTATTCCAGACATATTAATCTCTCTATAACACTTTTAAAATGTTACGTGTTGAGTAGTTTGCTCAAACTATAACATTTCTTTTTCATGGGGCAGTTCTTTCGAGTATTATTTTTGTTGTGATTCTTGGAATGAAATATACAATCTTGTGACGAACCAGCCAGTGGCTAAAAGTCACTCTAATGAAGAAAAAAAAAATATGCAATCTTAATATTTTCCGGTATTTGGAAGGGAAGTAAAGCCGTTGGTCCCGGCCCATGTATGTTGTGAATGGGTGCGATATCCTACGCAGGTGTGGAAGCTGCCTTCCTGCACATTCGGTTGCCATCAATGGATGGCAATCGATATCCGTCGGTGATTGGCACTAGATTGCGGAACAGAGACCGACGTTAAATAAAGGAAAAAAAAGAAAATATTTTCCGGTGTCAGGTCATTAGACTAAAGTACGTTAGGCCGAATGGATAATTGAGCCGAATTTGTAATTCCATTTAAAAATAAACATTTTTTTAAATATATTATTCTTTTGATTATTTTGCACGTAGGCTTTATTTTCATGCATCATTTCTAGGAGATTTTTCCTTCTTTTTTATATGAGTTCTCCCGAGGGACATTGCTCTTCTTATTTTTGGCGCTTCCGGTTTTTTCATTTACTTTTTCATGCATTATTTTTTCGGAGTGTTTAATTCTTTTTTTTAACCGTGAGCAGTTCTTTCGAATGAATTTTGGCGCTCTGAGTTTTTTTTCATGAAATATTCTTAGGATTTTTTTTTTATCGAGCATATTTCCTTCTTGTAAACATGAGCAGTGGCTGTGGGCTAAGGTAGAGTCGGTGTATAATGAGTCACGCCAAGAGAAAAACAGTTGAACTCGCATCACGGTTTTCTAAAGATTCCCTTTCTTTTAACTTGGCAACAGAGGACTTCTGCATCAACTTCAAATGACTTCTAGCGAGGAAAAAAATTAACGGCTGTAGTAAATCATTATATCAGCGATTTTGTCGAATTATCTTAAGGAAAAATAGTAGAAATTGTCATTACTGATCATTACAAAACGTATCCCATGACAAATGTAATGCTCACTGCGTGTATATGATCATTTCTTCGGTTATATTTAATATTTAATTGCAATACCTTTCGTGGACCTTTCATAGCATGGTAATGCTTGTTTACTTTGCACGATAGGTAGCCGATTTGACAGTTCAATAGGTAGACTTGGCTTCACTCTTGGCGTGACTCATTATACACCGACTCTAGGCTAAGGAAGAGAAGCTCAAAGCTGCATTGATAAGACGCGAACATACTCATTAGTACAATACACCGAAGAAGTGTGCACATTGTAGACGAAATACGCGTATATTTCAGGGATAAGCAAATAAGGAAATGGAAATTACTAATCCTTCTCTCTTTTTTTATAGAGGATATGACTATTTTTGAAGTCATTTAATGTAGGTATTGCTTTAATTTGTTTAAAGTGAAGTGATTAAATGGTAACATAAGATATAAAAATATTTTAAAAATCTAATACAATATCCAAGGTTGCAAATACTCATTTCAGCTAAAATAATGTTTTTCGGAATAATAAAACCAAAAGATGGTATGATGGCATGTTTTACTTGTAACTTACAAGAAGAGGTTACAAAGTATGCGTTTGAAACATAAAACCTGTAAATTTTGCTTTATATGAGTCACAATCAGCGATTTGCTGATCGCTGAGTGAGTGAGTGAGTGAGTGAAAAATCGCTGATTGTGGCTCTCATGAAGTGAAATAAACAGGTTTAATATGTCTAACACATTCTTTGCAACCTCTTCTTGTATCCTTCCAATTCAAAATATGATCATGGCATCTAGTTACTTCATTATTGAGAGGGGAACTCTTCCCCTACTCGATGGTGATGTCGATTTGCCAGGGAGAGCCATGACTTTCGAGAAATCCTCGAGAGAAGTCATTGTTTACAAAAGCTGTTTCGCCCTAATTCCAGCTCTATCTAGACATGTGAAATGCTGGCTTCTTGTAAAAGTTGCAAGATAATTTAGGTATAAATCCCTGCTGCCGAATTCTCGCGTCACTTTCAAAATCGAAATTGAAGTTCGACAGATTATTATTTTAACTGTTTAAAAACATTACATTTTGCAATACTATTTTTAATGTAGTCTGTGTATAATAACGTTGAAAATTCAGAAGAAACGGTAAATATATCATTTCAAACTGTACATTGGACAATTTTTGATCAATGATCAATCTTAAATAAATGAAAGTAAATTTGGATGGATGTTTTTGTATCACATGCAATGATAGAAGAGCAATAGTTTGTATCGCGTAACTCGATTTCGAAGAACATTTCAAATGGTCCTATCTGCTTTGATCGATTCTCTTCATCGACTTTCTCTTTTCATAACCACTGCTATGCAAACAGATTTCGCGCTAATTCTACCACATGATTTGATAAAGGAGGTTCTTATCTAGCGTCCAAAACGTCAAATACAACAGGGAAAGATTTTGCAACTGAGTTATTGACGAAAGAGAAAGTCGATTAAGAGAATCGATCAATGCAGATAGGACCTTTTGAAATAATGTTTATCTGTAATTTGTTTACATTTATTACTTAGGGCCTTTTGAAAAGTGACGTGAGAAATCTTCGTGCATTTTCGAGGGAGACTGGGACTATCCATTAAATGAGTAAAAATATTACCCATTTATGAGTATTTGTTACTCAAAAATGAATACTTACTACTTGTTTTTGTAGTTGTAATTACTCATAAATGGGTAAAATTTAACTCATTTAATAGGTAGTCCTAGTTTCCCTCGAAAATGCTTAATTTGTAGCCATTATTGGGTATTTTGCGGCTACCGTGTATACACAGAGAAAAAATATTACCCTAACTTTAAGTTCTTTTTACTTAATTTTGGGTAATTTTGGGTTTTACATCCCACTCTCACTTGTTGTTGTTGTCAAGAACGGAACGAGAGATTTGACTTTCTCATGACTATCGTTTAATAAGTTACTAGTGAGTATATGAGATATTCTCAAATTTGTGTCAATTGAACTTAAGTTTGGGTAGAAAATACACACGAGTAAGTAATTCCCTCCCCATGGACATGGAGGTTGACGGTACTGAAGCAAAGGGTTATGTTTAATTTCTTTATATTTGCAACGATGATGATTTCCTATAGTGACACATATCACCTTCTTAATGCTTCAGTATACCTCAAACGATTAATTCTTGGTTGTTAATAGAACTTCCTTGATGCAATCGGCTGCATTATGCAGACTGAGCAATTCTGATTATAGTATCAGATTTGTTCTGTATACAGAGGAACTGGGAGGGCTTATTAAAAACTTCTCACCAATAAAGTAATGATCTTCTTGTAAATTTTGCATATAATTTTATTAATATTTTATTTTATTTAAGCATATTATTTTTGTTACAGTCAATTTGCATTAGCATATGATACAAGAGATTTAATATTACTTGCTCGTTTTCGCGTAAAATAATCAATATTTATCTTACTTGAAAGTTTTTTTTTCAAGTTTTTTTTTGTGATCTGAAAATTTACCCAGTTTGGTTAGAAGTTTCGAAGCTAACGCATGTCCACAGGCCTAA